TCTTTCTTTCTTTCCCTTCCTTCCTTCCCTCTTCCTTCCTTCTGTCCTTCCTTCTTCCTTCCTTCCTTCCTTCCTCTCTCTCTCTTTCTCTCTTCCTCCCTCCCTCCCTTCCTTCCTTCCTTCCTTCCTTCCTTCCTTCCTTCCTTCCTTCCTTCCTTCCTTCCTTCCTTCCTTCCTTCCTATGGAGTTTCACTCTTGTTGCCCAGGCTGGAATGCAGTGGCACAATCTCAGCTCACTGCAACCTCTGCCTCCTGGGTTCAAGTGATTCTCCTGCCTCAGCCTCCCGAATAGGTGGGATTACAGGCACCCACCACAATGCCTCACTATTTTTTTGTATTTTTAGTAGAGACAGAGTTTCACCATGTTGACCAGCCTGGTCTCGAACTCCTGACCTCAGGTGATCCACCTGCCTCGGCCACCCAAAGTGCTGGGATTACAGGCATGAGCCACTGCACCTGGTCTATTTTTCTTTCTTAAACATGCCAGACCGATCCTCATTTCGAGTCTCTGTGCTTGGTTTTCACTCTGCTTGGAATACCTTTCCCCCGGATTTTCACAACTAACTTCTCATCACATATGCCTTTCTGTTCAGAGAGACCTTACACTGTTGGTTTCTCTGCCAGAAGACTGTGAACTGCACAACTAGCTCTGTCCTCCTTACAGTTGTCACCCTGGTGCCTTGATGTGTGGACACCCAATAAGTATTGCTGAATGAATAAGCAATTAGTTGGAGAGAAATGAATAAGCAGTATAGGTACAAGGTCTCGCTGAGAGAGTGGATAACTGTAAAAGAAGTGGAAACACTGACAGAAATAAAAACTGTGAAGGGTGAGTCAGTTTGTGTAGAAAGATATGAAATTTTACTTTGAACATTGAATTTGAGATATGTGGAAGTGGCAGAAGAGTGCAGTGATTGGGAGCACAGCTTCTTGAACTAAATTCATATCCCAGTGCCACCACATACCAGTAGTATGATCTTGGGCAAGTTAATGCCTCTGTGCCTCAGTTTCCTCAACTGTAAATAAGAACGATAGTATTACCTATCTCATAAAGTTGTTGAGAGAACAAAATAAGTTAATATCTATAAATCACATAAATAGAGTCTGGCTATAGTATTGTTTTCCATGGAATTTAAGGAGTTCTGCATGTGACAGAGTTTCAGCCGGAGCTGGGACTAGAGTTGGGTGAGTGAAGTACCAATGGGACACAATTTGAGGAGCCACTTGCTCTGAGGGTTGTGTGAGGGCCCTGCACAGCTTCCTTAAATTTTGCCTCATTGGCCTTCATTCCCCTTACCCTAGTGCTGGCCTTGGAAAACCCTTTATTGGTAAGATTCTCTAAATCTTGGCGCCTGTAACATCTCCATCTGGCCTTAGTGGGAGTGGTTTCTTGCTCTTTCTAATCTCTGGGTTGCCTAACTGTCCTTCAGTTGCTTCTCAGCCTTTTCTATCACTTACATAACCAATTACCTGCAGTCAGTTTCCTCTGCCCAAATCCTCTGAGTAGATTCTGCTTTCCTGATTGGACTCTGACTGATGTAACAATTAATATACTCCGACGCCTCATAATAAGCAATAGAATTTCAGGGAGGTGAGGGAAGAAGCTAACATTTATGGAATGACTTTAATATGTTAGGTAATTTTACATATTATCAGTGGAATCAGCCCCCACTATTTCAATGTAGGTTCTTTTCTATTTTCCCTAAGTGTCGACTGGTCTGAGAAATAAAGAGAAAGAGTACAAAGAGAGAAATTTTACAGCTGGGCCTCCAGGGGTGTCATCACATATTGGTAGGACCATGATGGTGACCCTGAGCTGCAAAACCATCAGGTTTTTATTAGGGATTTTAAAAGGGGAGGGGATGTACAAACAGGGAGTAAGTCACAAAGATCACATGCTTCAAAGGGCAGTAAAGATCACAAGGCGAGGCAAAATTAGAATTACTGATGAGGGTCTATGTCCCACTGTGCACGCATTGTCTTAAAAAACATCTTAAGAGGATACAGGATTTGAGAGCAGACTACCAGTCTGACTAGAATTTACTAGGCTGGAATTTCCTAATCCTAGTAAGCCTGAGAGTACTGCAGGAGATCAGGGCGTATTTCAGTCCTTATCTCAACCACATAAGACAGACACTCCCAGAGTGGCCGTCTATAGACCTACCCCCAGGAATGCATTCCTTCCCCAGGGTCTCAATTATTAATATTCCTTGCTGGGAAAAGAATTCAGCAATATTTCTCCTACTTGCATGCCCGTTTATAGGCTCCCTGCAAGAAGAAAAATATGGCTCTATTCTGCCCAACCCTGCAGGCAGTCAGACCTTATGATTATCTTCCCTCGTTCCTGGAAAATTGCTGTTATCCTGTTCTTTTTCAGGGTGCACTGATTTCATATTGTTCAAACACACATATTTTACAGTCAATTTATACAATAGTGGTCCTGAGGTGACATACATTCTCAACTTATGAAGATGACAGGATTAAGAGATTAAAGTAAAGACAGACATAAGAAATTATAAGAGTATTGACTGGGGAAGTGACAAATGTCCATGAAATCTTCACAATTTATGTTCAGAGATTACAGTAAAGACAGGTGTAAGAAATTGTAAAAGTATTAATTTTGGGAACTGATAAATGTCCATACAATCTTCATCCCTATCAGATAGTGGAGTGATGCTCGCTAGATAATTTTTAATGAGAAATCTGAGATTCAGGGAGGTATAGTACATCTAGTGTCACTAAGAAACAGAGTTAGGGTTCAAGCATAGTTTGAAGGTAGAGGTAATACCCTTTCACCATGCAGATTGTAGGTAAACTCCCATTGAACTACAATAATTCATTCTTTCTTTTTCCCCCCTGTGAGAGATTTTTTTTTTCCCAGAGAAATACTGACTGACAATGATCAGCACCTATGGGATCTCCTCCTCTTCTTTTTTTCTTCTTTATTTATTGAGGTCACATAATGCAAAATTAATAATTTTAAAGTGAGCAATTTAGTAACATTTAGTGCATTCACACTGTCATGTAACCAATACCTCTATCTAGTTCCAAAATATTTCCATCATTTCAAAATATAACACTTTACCCATTAAGCTTCTCTTCAATCCCCTCTCCTCCCTGCTGCTGGCAACCATCAATGTATGTTCTGTTTTTATAGATTTACCTATTCTGATATTTCATGTAAATGGAATCATACAATATGTCACCTTTTTTATGTCTGGCTTCTTTCATTTAGCATAATGTTTTTGAGGTTTGTCCATATTGTAGCAAGTATCAGTACTTCATTCTTTTTTATGACTGAATAATATTCCATCTATGTTATACATTGTACCACCATTGTACCAGTCATTCCATAATGATCATATAATGTTTATCCATTCATCTATTGATAGACATTTGGTTACCACATGTTGGCTATTGTAAATAGTGCTGCTATGAACATGTGTGTACATGTACTTACTTGAGTATCTGTTTTCAATTCTTTTGGCTATTTATGAACTCATTAACTTATAGTTAATATAGTTAACTATATTTTATATGTATTTAATATATTTAAACTATATTTAATATATTTAATAACTAATAAGTTAACTATAGTTAATATAGTTAAAATAACTCATTTTTCTATTATAATTTCTAATTCCTATTAATTTCAGTTTACAAAATGAAAACACACAGTAACAAATTTCTGTTAAAATGTTTTTTCTCTTTTTGAAGGCTTATGTCTATAGTCTTATAATCTAGTTTTAATTTAATCAGCAAGTTTTGTTTATCTGCTATGGTATATGTGTTTTTATATGTATATATGTTTGTCGGTAACAGAGAGAAAGAAGTGGGGGAGAATAGAGGGTTTTTTGTTGTTGTTGTTGAACATTTAATATAGTCATTCTGAGACTTGAAGGTTATTACAACCACTGGCTTATTTTTCATATCAATATTGGCAGATTTTATGTAAAGTAACATTTCTAGGCCAAAGAGGCCAAGCTTCTTTCAAGGTAAGTGCTAACAGAGAAAGATCATTTGAAAATCTAGGCAAATTTCAATGCAAAATAGCAATAAATGCAGCTATTTTCAGTTATCTGTAAATAAAATTATGTTTCTTTCAGAACAAATAAGAGCAGATGAGGGAGGGATCATTGTATTTTTGTAATTTATGTAAGAAGAAAATATGATTAAAATAAATTGAATGCACAAATAAGTAGCTCAGGTGCAAATTATTTATTTATGAAACAAAACCTCTTGAAAAGAGAAGAATGCTGACAGCAACTTAGAATGCTATATACTGCACTCCTGTTCTTACCCTTACATTTTCAAAGTCAAACATAGTAATTTAGTTGTGCTCCTGTTTATATTAGTGGGAGTTTTAAAAGTTAAATTTCTGCACACAGCTTTGAAAATGTATAGGTCAAAATAAACTGTTAATGAAAAACTGTTTTTCATTTTCAGTGAAATAGTTTAAATCTCTCACCAAGGATGTCCTAGAAGGCACCTTCCTTCTAGTCACAGGAGAAGAATTATAGTATAATGTTACTATTTGGAGGTCAGCATCTTTAAAGCAACATGGATAAGAAATCATATTAAAAAGACAAGAAATGTTTCCCAACCCTAAAGAACATAAAAGTTCAGGACCTATGTAGTTTCATAGTAAGCAAAGGACATTGGACATTTTCAATGGACCCTTTCAGCTGGGTGCATATAATCAGTAATAGAGGTATGCTAAGGTGAATTTTAATTAGGACTAAATTGTGGTATTACTCTTTCATACCCTGAACATCTGTTCCCTTCAGAAATGATGATTTATGCAGGCTATCAGAGCAGACAGCTTGCTACAGCTTATGTCACGGTTAGTAAGAAGCTGGTGGTAGCATTTCAGAAAACCCAGCATCTAAATGGAGACTGGCCAGTGTATAATATACAGGTAGTAGAGGGAGGGAAGTATGATGTGTCCGTTTTTAATTTTGAAGCCAAATATTGACTTGACTTAAAAAATTATCTTCTAGACCATCTGTTGTTAATGAAGAAAGTAACTTGGACAATGAATGGGTTGATGCTTCCTACTGATGTCAAAAGACGGAAAACCAAGCCTGTTCTTTCTATTAGAATGAAGAAACTTACTGAGAGGACCTCAGTCCGAATTCTGTTCTTTAAGAATGGCATGGGGCAGGATGGGCATGTGATTACAGTGGGAAAAGAAACAATGAAAAAGGTAATTTTATATTAAATATTGAACTATGAATTCAATTTCAAAATTTTGTGACTTTTGAAATGTGTTATTTTTTTCTTCTAAATATCAATGTCAACAAATAAACTGAAATATTAAGAAGATATTATATAGAACTAAAAAATTCTATATAAACCTGTTTATAAGTCTGTTTATTGCACTAATACCATAAATTACCATAGCAAAGCAACAATATTTCAGGAAATTATTTGGCTAACATAGTTAGTCATTCACCTAGTTAAAATGTTAAGTTTATACTAGAGAAAACATTCTAAACATTCTAATTAGTTACAATATTTTATAAGCTATTTAGATCGAAGCCAGTCTAACCTAGCTTCCAGTCTCAAATCTGCCTCTTTTCATTTAGAATACTGGTAAGACCTAAAAATATCCTTGCTCCTCTAAAGAATTAGCAAAGCCCCAAATCACTAAAGTGCAGTTTCAAAGTATTCATAGAAGTTTTAAAAACAAATCTAAGGGGCCCAAGAAAAATCATGAAACAAGCAAACTTAAAAAAAAAGTTAAAGTATTACTTGTCATACAAACGCATGTTTTTTAGAAGGTGTTTATACTTTCTAAAACATCTTTGATATTAAAAAAAATACCGAGGAGCTAATAGGAATTTGAAACACACACACACATTTTTACACAGATAAGGATTTTTCAACCAATTTTACAGCAACCTAATAATAATATAGTAACAAATGTGTTGAGAATGTATGAGAGACAGTAAAACATAACCAAATGCCTAGGCTTGAATCTTGGTTTCACCATTCACTAACTATGAGGCCTTGGACACCTTTGTTTCCCTGAGCCTCAGTTTCTTCATCTAAAAAAACCAGAGATAACAGTAGTACCTACTTCATAGAGTTGCTGCGAGGATTTAATGTGATATTATGCATGGAGTACAATGCCTGGCACCCAGAAAGTTCCCATTAAATGTTTCTAGTCTCATCTTTGAGACTCATAATATACACCTAACAGAAATTAGTTTTCTTTCTAATAGAAAATTTTTGTTATGAAATCAAGATAATTTTGTTATACAAAACTATTTCAAATTGAATGTTGCTTGGAACAGGTGAATAGTTGACTAGATATTGGAATTTTAATCAAAATATCTACTTCATTTATTTATTTTTGTGGTTGTTTTACAACCACAACTGGTTAAGAGCATTTACCAATGAGCTGGGAAACCTGAGTTTTGTTTCCTTCTCATCTGCAGATTTGGATTATGATATTAAGGGATATTACACAGCAGAGCAAATTGCTAAGGCAAGTTATAACATCTTCCCTGGCGATTTTGAAAAATAGAGAAGATGGACATATCTCTTGGACTGTTAAAATGCAGTCATTCTTGGAGATAGAAGCTAAGTTAGATAACCTCTTGAGTTCACTTCAGTTCAATCTCTGTAATTCCATGCCTTAGTGATAAAATTGGAGTAATAGTCACTCTTACAGATTATATGTTCTTAGATGAAAGGTTGAGTATAAATAAAAATGCCACTGCTATTTTGCTTTTTGTCTCTAGAGAGGAATTTATTTAAAACTGGATGATCAAGGAAGTCTTTAGCTTGCATTTTTCTTTTACAATTTGTAGAAAATATTTAAAGAATTTTCACAAATTCATGATAGAACTCATAATAGAACATGATTTAGTAACAAATGTATTAGCAAATATTTGCCTCAGTATCACATTTAAGAATGAGGCAAAGAAGAGGAGGCAACAAAATACTGATCTTGGGTGTCAATAAGAACTTTTTAGAAGGGAAAAATAAGGCTTGCTAATTATTTTGTTAATAAAATTTAAATTTTGAAAGTGTTGTTGATAATCATAGGATCATGCTCTATTTATATATTAAACACCAAATCAGTAATAGAAATAAGGAAGTGTCATAGTCTTAAGAGAAAAACAAATTATTTTCTCTTTTATGATAAAACATTAGGAATGTTAGCTATTTTTCAATTACTACTAAGTAATGTAAAACTGAAGTAGAGTGTAAAGTATTCTAATATGGTGAAGGTTATTGCAGTGGGATAAGAAGAGAATTATTGAGGATGAGTGGTACAATAAGGTAGTTAAAGCATAAAAGTCCTCTATGAGCACAGAATAGAGCCAAGGGGAAATGACTGTATGTTAATTACAAGGAGAAAATCAAAAGGAAATTCATTTATTTACTTTAGGAAGTAATTAAGAAGTTTGAAATGAGGGCCAAAATGATATATTTCTTTACTAAACTCTAGAATACCAGAACTATAGCACATCTCTTTGCAATTTAAATCTGATGATTTTAGAATTACTTGATATGGTTTCAGTAATCACACAGCATGTGCTACTATAGGATATAGGCTAAACATTTATATCCATGGGTTGAGAAAGGTATTAAGAAAAGTTTGTGGGCATAAGATGCCAAATTAATGGGAAATGAAATATGGCTGATATGGATACACAACTTTGAGATTAGCATCGTGGTGGATAAGTTTTATTCTCTTCCAATTACATCTTGGATTCATTTTCAGATAATTGATGGCTGTGTGGATTATTTTATTATTCAAGATAGCATTTCTTTTCTGAAAAATGTTTGATTTTTTTCCAGTAGTTAATAATTATATCTTTCTTACTTGGGTTTTTGCTTGGTTTGCTACTATCACCAATAGCATGAAATTACAGTGGTGAAGAAAATGATGGAAAAGATAATGAAATGAATGAAACAATAAAAAAAAATTCGCTGTCCTCTTGCTCCCATTTGAACTGGCTGTTTTCTATGATCTCTATGCTGGGATCTGTCTTTACTATCAACCTGAGAATTATCGTTCTCTCTCTCCTGTGTTGGATTTCTTTTCCCTGGTTCCCTAGTTTTCCCGTACCTCATCTATTCTACTGTTTGCATATTCCAGTGGCTTCCCAAAAAAGAGAATATGGATGGTGAATATTTTGAAATCTTGGGAAATATTTTTTCTTTCAAACATTAAAAGTATTGCTCTATTGATTTTTGTTGCTAGTGTTGCTGCTGAGAAGTCTGATATCATACTGATTAATCATCCTTTTTAGGTGACACAAAAGATGAAAACATTTAGGACCATCTCTTTATTGACAGTGTTCAAAGTTTTTTTCAAGATGTGCTGAATACTCAGGATGTCTTCTCAGTTTGAAAAGTGTCATCCTTTTCTTTTGAGATGTTTTATTGAACTATATATATTTCTGACAATATCCTTTTACTGTAGTTTTTCTGTTATTATTTTATGGAGCTCCTACTTTTATATGTTGGATCTTATGTACTGAACTTCTAATTTTCTTATCTGGGAGATTTGCTTATCTTTACCTCCCAATCCAGTGAATCTTTTGCTTCTCCTTGTACCGTCTGTTTTTTTTCAGGGGGAGTTGGAGGGGGGTTGGAGGCATTGCTTTTGTTTTATTTGGTTTTGGTCTTTAATGTTACAGACTACAGACTTACTTTAAGTATGAGTTACTCCTCCATCAATATTTAAAAGTGAAGAACCAAAAAGTTGGTTGAAAAGCTATGAGCATAGGTTTGTGTTATTGACAGATGGATTTCATTGGAGAGTGTTTTGACTAGGATTTTTCATTGGGGTTGGGTTCCTAATTATCAGTGTCTTTTCTCTGGAGTTAATCAATTTCAGCAAATAAAGTCCGCCAATTTGAGCAATGTACTAGCCAAGTGGAGAAGGGGGTTAAGAGTTTCACTTTCATTTAATTCTCCTCTTTTCGGTAAGAGGTTTAGTCTCTCCAGAGAACAAATCAACAAATCTCGTGTCTTCTCTTCTGATAGCAAAAGTATAGTTGCCTACCTGGTTGATGTGGGAAGGATTCTGGAGGTTTATCTGTTTTCTGTATAGTCAATCTGTTTTTAGCCCAACTTTTAGAGGTACCTAATGCCTCAAATTTATAAGCTTTTTTGGGGTTCTGCAATACAAATAAAATGTACTTTTACTAGTTTAAGTTTTGACTTTTCTGGTCTGCTAAATCATTTACCACTTAATTATCTTCCCACCTTTCTGGTTCTCTTTTTTGGAAAATAAATGTTAAGTGTCAATCTTTTAATATTGATAATAATTGATTAATAATTATTGATTTTTATAGATAAAAATGAATAATTCTAATATTTTCTTCCTATCCCAATTGTTTTCCCAGTTTCTTGGGGTTTATGCAGCATAATTTGGCAAACGTAGTGTTAGCTTACTTCAGTGAGAACAGAATACTTTTCCTCTGTTACCTGGAGGCGTCATATACTTACTGCAGGCAAAAGGCCCACAGTTTTTTTCAAAGTGTGGTCCACAGAACACTTTCATCAGAATTGTCTGGCCTTTCTGTTAAAGGTTCAGACTCCTAGGCCCTACCACGCCTATTGAGTTAAGAATTCTTGAGTGTGGGCCCTAGTAATCTGAATTTCAACAAATGTCTCCAAACGATTCCTAGCCACTCTAAAGTTTGAGAATTCTTATTCCAGTGTTCTAAAATTTCAAACTTACTAATTGATGGAAATCTTCACAGACTTCCTTTTTGCTTGTTCTCCTGTACTTCTCATATAATTTAAGAGAAAAAAAAAACTTGTGAGACAGAATAAAAGAGGTTGGGGGAAATTAGATAACTAGTTGTTAGATTAGAATGAGTGCAGGGAGTTCAGAAATCAGGAAATAGAAAACATTTATAAGCCAGCAGAAAAAGAGTGGTTATGTGTAGCAAGTCTGGCTTAGGAAAAAAATACTCCCTTCATATTTATATGTAAACATATTTCATTGTAATTACTTTTTCCTGTTATTACTGAAAAAACATATAACTATTGCGAGAATTACTCCTATATGAATTTCAAGGTGTAAATAAGCAATAGACTTTATTAGATGCCTTTAAGCTAGGAGAAATATGTATTTCTATGATGTTTACCATTTATTAATTAAAAAAACATAATAAGCTTAAACAAAAAAATAAGAAAAATTTCAAGCTTAAGAAAGGCCCAATTCAATTGAAA